TCTTCTTAATGAGAACACTGATTACAAAAGTAAATTAACAGATCTGTTCTTCAGTGTCTGTTGTCCTTCTGAAAACATACCTGACACCCCTGTATCTCTTTCATTTTTAACTAGCTAAATCACAGAATCAGTACATTCAAGCTATATGTACTTACATACTTTTAAACAGTTCATAACTCTAATACATATATTAATCTGTAAAGGTATTACAAGGTGGATTTTGGAAACATTTCCCTCCCCATTGGTGCACAAAAGTACCAGAAGACCCCCAGCCTAGAATATTATTTGTATAGTTGAATAAAGAAATTTATATTCTTTTGCTCTCTAATGAACACATTAGAGAATCTTGAATTTTATTTGAAAATTAGTGTCAATTTGTAGAAACTTATTCAGTTGATTTGACTATGGAAGTGGTACTATATATAATCTAAAGAATATTTTCCCTCTGTTGCTGAGGTGAAAGGCACTTCTATAAGTTTGCTAAGACAATAAAACTATAAACAGATGTGATTTAATTAATGAGTGCAATGCTTCATTGAAATAATATCTGGAAACACTGTACAAACTATCACAGCTATTACAAAGGCTTAATTTAATTAAGCTGTAGTTGCTTAAAAATAATTAAAAAAATGCAATTGAGTGCAAATGTGCCTCAAATGCATCTCAAATGCATGCTTCAGCAAAAAAAGCTACGACAAATTACTTCAAATGATTACAGACAGAAGTTGCTTTCTACATTTTACTTAACACTAAGACTAAGCAAACTTTTCAAAACAGCAGGCTCATTTCATAACTGAATATTTCAATACAGATTGTTCATCTGTTTTCTGTCAAAGCAATTGGTTTAAGGGTATGAAACATTTAAATAACATAAAAATACAAAAATCCAGTTTTACATTTCCCTATGCTTATAAATGCGATTTGCATGTAATGATAAATTAGAACTGCAAGCTTTCACAGTTATTTTTACACTAGCCCACGTTTGATATCAAAATAATTTCTGTGGATTTTAGACAACCATTTCATTTTATTTATTTATCAATACATTGAATATAATTGTAGGAATGCAACAGTACAGAGAAGAAGCTTATCTGCCTATTTAGAAGCTTATTTATTACTATTTACTTTCTACCCATTAGCAAAACTGAAGTTTTAGGAAACCTAACACATATGCCTTAATTAAGTACCTCATTCTAACACATTAGCAAGTGGGATTGGGGAAAAAAAATCACTCTAATTTAGTTTTTGTTTCCTCTACAAGTCTGTGAGCAACATTACAGTTAGAGCATTCTGCAAACACTATATTCACCAAAGAGGAAATTGGCAGCGTGCCACAGAACACCAATTCCAATATACCAGTCTAACCCGGTCACAGCAAGCTTGCAGTATCAAAAACAAATAAGCAGCTCACATAGAATCAGAGCACAAAACTTTCTAAATTACAGGACTTTTGGGGACACTTTTTTTATTCAGACCATAAATCTGAAAAGAATGATAACATACTAGAAACCTGAAACAAAAGCAGTATGGACTTTCTGACTTCGGTACTAAAAGTACCAAGTAAAAATGTAGCCATGTACAAAATCATCATATATACATACCCTAATTTTACACCCTCCAGAACACATCTAAACTGAAGCAATCCCTTCTCTCTCCCACCACAGTTCCAAACAGAGCTTTCCTCCAGTGAACCACCCAGCTGTCAGGTATTTTCCCTCTTCTAGATCATCTGTTTTTTTTTTCTGAGAAATAATAATTACATTTCACCTCATTTCAAACCAGCGACCCAAACCAATCCATGCTTCACCTGCCCATTGAGGGCCACAGACCTCCACCACCACATGCTGAAGAACACCTTTAGGTACATTACCTGCCCAAAAACCTCTGGAAGACCAGACTTGTGCATCCATGTCATCTATCTCCTACAGTAGTCACTACGTTCTGTCCTCAAACTCAGACAAAGATGGTGATTTTTCACTTGAATGATAGGAGGGCTCACCAGTCTTCCTCACAGCCTAGATCTCTGTCATACTATGCTTGTATATACAGCTCAATCATGCTATGCTTGTGTTTGCTGCTAATGTTGGAAAACGTGATGTTATACTAACCTGAAGAGAGCTGCTTTAGAAACACAGTGGATAGCATCAGGGGAGCCCCAACTCCAATTCCCATTATGTGCATGGGATACAGTACATGCAGAGAGGAATTATACATATGCACAATTATAATCGTGCACACAAGTTGGGGAGGGAAGTTGCGTATTCCTAAAGGAGAACTAGAACACTGCTTTCAGCAAAAATTCCCCCTTGGCCATCTTGGAAAGAGCAGCTTCACTTCCAAGCGGGTTACAATGTCCCCAGCCCCAAACAGCAACACCGCCCTGGGCTGACTGACACACAGAGCTCTGCAAACCAGCAGCATTTCTGCCTTGAGATGGGCTGCCAAGAGGCCAGCCCAGATCGCCAGCTCTCCGAGTGCAGGGAGAGGAGCCTGGCAGGATGTTCAGGCATAACATTTACAGGCCAAATGCCATTCCCTTTGAGGGAGGCAGATCCACCATGAAAGCACAGTTTGAGCCCCAGGAGGGAAAGCTGGTGGGCAGGGATACTTGCTGAGAAATGAGGGTTCTGTGGAGAACACACAGAGCCGCTCCATTTTACTGCCTAGATCAAGTGCTCATTACTCTCTAAGAAAGTAATGTAAGAGTGAGCTATGCTTTTAACTATTTTATTTTTTTTTTTAAGAAGAAGGAAGATGGGCATGATACACATAATTCTGTAAGGACACCACACCCTGAACATGCTGTTCCTCTAACATTTACAGCAGGCACAAGGGACTGGGCGGTAAGTCGATGCCAATGAATCTGCCACCACTTTCACAGCAGCAGGATGAGATTGGAAGGTCTGAAAGCCTGCATTTGAGTGGTACTTACTACAACCCAGCCTGCTACTTTTCTCCTTGGAGAAGAGATGGAACAGCTCCCTGGAGCAGTGAACTCTGCTCAGCCAGCCAAATCCTGCCACCTGCACATCCACCAGGGCAGCTCTTAGACCACAAGGGAGGGAGGGGAGGAAGGGATGGAAGCTCACAGCTTCCTGAATGTATGCGAACTGCCCCACCACAGTAAAGCCTATTTTTTTTCCAGTGAAAGTAAATTACCTGAGTCAGCTAAACTCAGAACCCTATGACAGACCTTTCCCATGTTTAGTAATGCCTTCTGGGTGACTAATGAAATCACTAGACTGACTGTGGGCTTAGCAAATACACGCTAACTGAGGACTGCAAGTCTGTCTTACATCGAGGCATGAGCTTCCAGGACCATCAGGAAATTCCATGTCACCCCCACCTTATAGAATGGGGGGGGAAGAGGGAGGGAAGCAACCATAATTTGTAATTGCCAGCTTGAGCTGTAACATATTCCTCCCCCAGAAATAAGAGGCATATGAGGAATGACCTGGTCTTTTGCAGTCTCAGGCGACATTTCTCTTTTCTGTCACCTCCTAAGCATAAAGGCACATCCTTGCCCAAGAGCAGTAACTGCTGTGTTAATACTGCTCAGTATGGATATGAGCAGCTTGCTCTAGCTCCCACTAGACTGAAGTCACTCATCTCCTAAATAGCAGCAATTGCTAAGTACCATACTTTTCAAAGAAGAAAAGCTGAACACTTCTTTCCTTTCAATTTTTGGAATTGTTCTGTAATCTGTGCAGCTACAGAGCTGCAGCTGACACCTCAGCACCATTTGCAATGACTGAAGTAAGCAGCAAAAGTATCCACTGAGTTTTCAGACTGTCAGTCCCAACATTCCCCTCTCCCTTATGCCCGCAGCATCTGTAATCTTGCTTCCAAATCCTGAAACACAATAGAAACCTCCCCTGGCTTAAAATCTTCTTTACTTAAGAAGATTACCTAAACTTTTAATTGCACTTTGCAGATACGGTTTAAAGATAGATGGAAATTCTGCCAGATGTCAATGGCTAGTGGATCAGCTGAGCTACAATTCAATCTCAGGGATCTGAGCCTAGCTAATTATCTTCCTCCCTCCTGCATACCTACTGAAAAAATTACATATTTAATTACACCAGACTAGACCTTAAATTCTGCGAAACAGAACAGCATGAGGTTCTGAAATAAGATTCCATCTTTCTATTTTCCTTTGCACAACCTTATTTCAGTAGGAACAAGCTTGCAGATGAGCTGAAAAATCTTTCCTAAATATATGCTTTTTTTCTACTGTCCAGTGAGCAGCAAATGGAATAAATTACATATGCAGAATAGCAAGACATATGAGGACTACGTGGGATTTTTGTTGTTTCTTTCAGTTATTATCCTGGGCATCTTTAGATGAATATGCAATCAGAACAGAAATCTTTACTAGGAGAACAAAATTACAATACATTGTGCTATAAGCGGACCCGTGAAGTTTTACGGCATGTTGAATCCAGTTATTAACATCTGAATGAGTGCTTTCAGATGCATTAAACAGAATGCTGCTTTCTTCAGTGTCACTTTTGGTTGAAAACACAATTTTTTAAAAGAAACTGCTGAATTGCCTATCCACACCATTCTTTTTAACTCCTACTGAAAAGTGCCAGCCAATATTTGCATCCAAATATACCAGCAGCAAAGTAATTTTAAGACAAAGTACTTGAAGCACTCATATACCTTATACATTATTTAAATACATCCTAAACCCCAAGTATTTCATAATCACTAAAAACAATTTGGTAGAAAGCATCCTGAAATCATCCACTATTTCCTATGTGTACATGACATTAATAACAGTAACTGACAGTGACAATGTAGTAATTCAAGTGTGTTGACAATTATTGAACTGAACGGACTTCAGAGAAATGTAAATGCCAGAGGACAACAGCTACAGCTTCACGACTAATGTGTGCCCTGGATTCTGACCATCAGATTTGCTATTTCAGTTTTGTAACCTGAATCTCCCTTCCCTACCAGAAAGAAACCAAAAACCCAAACAAGAAATGTCTTACTTGCTCTGCCTTCTTCAGTTGTTTTCTATCCGCCTGCAAAAACTGGCAGTTTTCTCTTGCCAGCTTCTGGACCAGCTCAATCCGTCCAATGTCATCTCTTCCCTGGAGCTTGCACAAAACCCCTGCCTTAAGGGTGGGAGAAAGAGCAAAGAGATACTTAAATCCACAGTCCCAAGACATGACACCGCTACAGATTTCAACCTTAAAAGAAATGCATCTGTTTTCTCATATTTTTGGTACTTTGGTACACTTGCTGAACACAGACAAATCACTGCTTCCTGGGAAACAACTGGAGAAGAGCTGAGGCACATATGAATCTCTAAATGTATCTACTTTGGAGGAACAAAGGCAGGGCTAACTAAATCAACCGTTCCTCTGAGTGTGACTATTAGATACCCTGTGTTTTATTTATTCTTGTCAGCCTGTTTCCTGTTACGTAAGAGAACAAGAGCAAGAGGTTAAAAACTCATGGGAAAGTTAGCCAGGAACAGCCCTGGAAAAAGAATGAAGCACAAATGAGGTCACACCTAAAAATAACAGCATACAACTCCATCTGCTCCAGCTCCAAACATTTTTCGCGTATGCAAGCCTCAAGAGTTAGAAGAGAGTTGCACCATGTTTATTTATTCTGTAAATAACAAAGCAGTATCTCCTCATTTTGTTTAGGGAACAAAATTAGATTTGCTTTAAAATCCACATTAGAACTATGTTTTTTTTGCTAATATTCTGCCAAGTTATTCAAACTATGCTGACAGCGTTTCATCAAAACATTCAGCACTGTTTTTTTTATAAAAATACCACGTATATATATAAAGATGGATTCACACTTGCACACGGGCATACCAGACACATCACAAAGTTAGTTGATGAGTGGCTAACATCACCCTCCATGATCTGGTCATGTATACAGCCTCTGCATAACCAAGACCCTGCTCAATGATGCCAAGCAGCTTTTATTAGACCAGATGTTTCCTGATGGGACAGTGTATGCCTTGGGAGAGCCTGGCAATGTGGCATGGCCAGGGTATTGCTAAATTACTTTAAAGGCAATCTGCAAATAAACCTTTTTCCCCACTTCCTCCACCCTTTTCTTTCTACTGTTCATCCAGAGTTCACCTGAACCAGTATCTACTCCAAAATTCACAAAACATCTAGTGAGTCAGGACCAAAAGCCAGAGGTACCCTTACTGCTAACCCCTAGTGCCATGCAGGCTCAAATCCTTTGGCCTTGAGAAACTCCTGCTCATGACAGCTGAAGGTGTGAGGCTGCTCACCTGAACCATCCTACTGTGTGCTGGTTTCTCTACCAAGATGAAGGAAATGAGGGTTAAGGTCTCTTCAGCTGAGGAGGAGAACAAATCTGCTTTCTAAATAAGCACTTTAACACTGATGGAAAAAAATTAGGTTCCATGACTGAGTCCAGAGTTATCCTTACCAAATTATTTGAATGACATTTTTACATGCCTACATTGATCCAGTCTAGATGAAGTCATCCCCTCACAAACCTACATCAGGCACTTGTGCTCTGAAGAATAATTTCAGATGCAGTCTGTGGTTTGCATATCCTATGCTTAGTGCCCAGATTCCTGAGGAACTCAACTTTCCCACATAAGTAACCTACACACTGGTTTGAAGATCAGAAATCCACCAAGAAAATAAGGAATTGCAGCGCCTAACCCAAAAGTCCTTACATTTTCCATGAGATTAGCTCCTTAGCTTTAAATTATAGAACCATGGAATTGTTTAGGTTGGAAAAGACCTTTAAGCTCGAGTCCCACCATTAACTTAGCACTGCCAAGTCTACTATTAAGCATGTCCCTAAGCACCCCCCTATAAAAGACACAGATTTATAAAGCCGTTCTGACACACCATTATCACCGGCAGATCAGGAGTGAGACTGGTTTTATCAAATGTGGAAGAATATACTGAACTAGTTGTCCAAACTTGTAAACAGAAAAATATCTTACTCTACAGTAGGTATTTAAAAATTATCAGATGAGCTGTTTCATAGCATTCTGCTTTTTCTCCAGTAATTTATACACAGAATGTAGGTAATCCTCACAGACTTTGCTGAGGTCTGATGTCTGCACTTCCTAGGTGGGGATATTAACTACAGCCAAACTTGCTTATTTCATGGCTTTGGGATGCTTGTAGCACAGAGTATAACAAGCCCCAGGCTCGTAGGCTAAGGACAACTCAAAGTGTTACAGCCTATTAGGATTTTTGGGAATATAAAGATTTATAATCTCTTTGGTTATGGGACCTTGGTACTGCAGAGGCACTTTTCACGCCTTCTTCTTGTGCCCAGACAAGTCAGACCATGATTGACATAGATGGCTATGAGTTCCTGTACTTCAAATGTCAGATGGACATCGACAATGCAGTGTTCACTCTGTTGAACAAATAACTTATTGATCTTCAGTGTATGAAGCAAAGCCCAGTGGTTAAAACCACTTATGCTAAGATGAGGAAGGGGGCTTCAGTTTTGGGATAACAGCTGGCTTCAGTTTGTTCAAATAGAAGAAACATACCAGAGAAAGACAATTTTTTGAACACATGGACCTCACTCTTTTTCAGTCCTTGCCCTTTGCCTGTCTACAGACAGAGCATATTATTTCTTCCTGCATGGATGAGCACCCCAGGGAAGAAGTTACCTAGATACAGACCTATTAGCCTTGCCACAAATATGGTCTGTATTCAAACTGGCAATTACATTAAAGAATCATATTGTCCCATTTCAAATAAGAAAGAAATCTTACATTTAAACATATGCCCTCCTCCCCCAACTATTTTTTAATTTAAAGAACTGCAGAGAATATAAAAAATGTATTTATTTTATTGCATTTTCAGAGGACAAAAGGTCAACTAAAACATTTCTGGGAGGGCTAAGGTATTACTAAGTTAATTGTACATGCTTGTCTCTGGCAGTAAAGAATGCACTTGAAATACAAATGTTTTTTCATAATTAAGAAGAAAAATATTAATCACTTTTAATTCTGATTTCCTCAATTATGCTGACTTTTCATGAGAAATCTTTCTGCTAAATATTTATAAGAAAGCACGCGGGTCAACTAATAAATTAATTGATGACAGCTTCCAAAAGCTGGCTGAGAAGATGTTGTCAGAGTCTCCTATAACTGGTTATTTTCACTTGTCACCATAAATTTAATTTGCAAGCAATACCTTTGCAGCTATTAGACAGAAGCATAAAGCCAAATTGCTCTACTTGCAAAGTACAATTTCAATTCGTATTTTGTGTGGGCACACACCTTCCAAAGTCCCATATGCCCAGATGTTGATGCTTAGTTCTCTAATTCATGTACCTCAACAGAGACCCAAGGACTAACTTATGTGAAGGTGAAAATAATGAAGTTGCATATTTTAACTGGCTTTAATTTAATGAAAGATAAAATTATGTAGGAGCTTTATATCAAGGTTTCACTACCATTCCTGGCCCCAAATTACTATAATTAAACATGTTTATGCAATATTTGAAATGAAATAAAATGTTTAATGAGAAGGAGTAAATTAGTCACTACTAAGGTTGAAAAAGCAGAGATGCTGACAACACATCTTCTGTTTCAGCACATCCATTGGAAAATATTCCCCCTGCAAAGGCCATAAATGAATATGCTAGCAGTGACAAGGAGGTGAATTAAGACATCCCTAGGCAGACAGGATGGGATTTTTTATTTACATTATTTACATTGTTTACAGCATGCTTCCTTTTAAAAAACCCTGTACTGAATTCTTTCCACACTTGTAACAGTTTTGTAACTAATTCCAATGTAAGTAAAGCCTCTGTCCTGCAAAGCGGTGCTCACAGCAGGCAGCACACCCTTCAGCTCTGCTAACACAAGAGGTTTGCAGTGGCTTGGCTTTTTAACACTGCACCTCTGTCTCCTGTGTCTGGTGAAAACAATGTAATTATTACGGGCTTCACCTTTGACCAACCTGACAACTTAAAAACATATGTCACTGCCTTGAAAGATCAGCTGCTTTGCTCCAGTCACATGCCCAGCCTCACTAGATTGAAAAAATAAAATCATTCACACTCATAAACCAAACTGTATTGGGTGATCACAGGATGTCATTTTTATGGCATTAACAAACAAATTGGAGCAACAGCTGCTTGGATAACACTCTCACTCCCCTCCTAGTTGGGCACATGGTCCTTTTTTTTAACTGCTTACTTAATGAATGTTTAATTTTAAATGTGTTTCAGATACTTTCAAATTTTAGAAGATGGTTTCCAGGCAAATAAAAGCTGAGCAAATCAATATCCCAATAATAAATTCTCATGGGTTTTTATAATCTGCCCACGTAATCTTATTAGCTGGCTACCTAGGAGATTTGAGCACACACATCAGAGCCTTCCTTTTTACATCTGTGACATAAACATGAACAAACATTTTCAAAAAATAATAATCACAACAATAATCAAGTAGAACTGAGTAATATAAAACCTGAAAAAAAGAAACAGAAGTCAGTATTTTCCCCTGGGTCTTTTTCTATAACTCTAGAAGCCTGCTCCTCAACCCCATGCTGATGTGAATTAGGAATCAGTCAGGTAACAAAATTTTCACATACTAGGGCTCCTACTACTTTTTCTTTTTTTTTTCTTTTTTAATAGATTTGAAACTATGTGCAGTTAAGAAAAGAGCAGGCCACTCCCAAACATGTTGCTTGAGCATTACTCCAAAGCATGAGCTAGAAAAGGCCAGATACACACTGATGCAGTAGGCATACCTGAATGGTCCCCAACTTCTGCCTGCACTCTCCAGGTGTCTGCCATGTCCCAGGTCTGCTACAGCTCCTCCTGGCCTCACTGTGGCTGAGACAGCCCCTACCTTTAGAAAGATAAAGGTGCTGCTCACATAGCTACATGGTTTGTACACCCTTCTGCTAGGTTTGCTCACAGACAGTGCTACAAATCCTGTCTTTCTTGCACACAGCTTTTAGGGGGGCAAGGTGTTAGGAGATAAATCAGTGACAGGAACTGCAAATCGCATATTCAGCAAGGAGAAAAGGTGGCAACTGGTGGGAAACATGAGATTTGCAAGAGAAACAGAGAGAAAAAAAATAGCCAAGACTAGGAAAAATCAATTTTAAATTAAAAGCAATAATCAGCACCATTATAATGAGCAGTATAGCTACGCTTGCACAGTCTGAATGCATGAATGGAATGATTAAATGAACTGGAGAGTAATCAAAAAAGATTCACAGAATTAAAAAGGGTAACCAATTCCACAATAAAACACTCTAAAAGGCAGTTAAGTTTCTTCTGAGCAATATCTAGAAGAACGATCTGGTTGTAAATGAGGCCAGTTAGGGAAGGAAAGAAAAAGGTTGTTGCTTACACTTCAGTGACTAGTAAGTATCTTCATTTCATTGCATGTCTACTTACAGTGATTAAAATTCAGTCAAAATGGCACATGCTCTTGCTTTCTAAAATACATCATTTTATTTTCACATCTGGTACTCGTTATATGTATATTCTAAAAAGAGCAGAAAGATAGCTGAAAAATGCTGTCCAATTGCAACATCATGGGTTTAATTCCCAGAGTAATCATCAATCTTATTCTAAATAGTCACACAAGACAAGATCCAGCAGACATTCTCCTTCCTACAGCCCCCTGCACAGAACATTGAGGAAAATCCATTTTCCAGAGCTACTGGAAGCAGATCCTTCAACTTCTAAATCCAAAAAAGTTCCCAAGACACCATTAATCTTACACATTTACCTGAGTATCAGAAGTATCCTTGAGCTGTTCTAGTCCTCTTATGTCTTGACCACCATTTTCTTCATTTTGATGAATTACTAAAGTAAGGAAGAGGGAATGTATTGGAAACAGGAAGTTTAAATCACAAGAAGCAGCAAAGCATCATGGCCCAGTTTAGATCAGATAGGATGACCATTCAAGAAGCCTCATTCTGAGTTTAGCTTTCTAGTTAACTCCTTGAGTGGACAAATACTATAAGGTGTACCTTATTCTTCCCAGGCAGTAAAATGCAGTAGTAAATAGTTATATTCCTGCTACTGTTAGTCCTGATAAAAATCTAATGCTTAAGGAAATGCCACTTTTGCATACACTATAACAAGACCTGATAAGTCATAGAGAATAAAGAAAATCAGACTTCCCTTTACTTTGATTACATTGCAGAAGGTCAATCCAGACTAAACAAAATAAACAGATTTAGCCCTCATCTCAGACTTGGAAAATTCTTCGTAAGCAAAGTGATCTCAATCTTAACAAACACCACCACAATCCATGAAAGCCATCTCCAGAAATAAATGGTAGCAGAAGATGCTCTACTGAAGGCCATTTGCTGTTGGCACAATCAGAGAAACCAGTGACTTAGCTCAATTAACGTTGCTTAACACCAGTAAGTTGTGCCAGACTTTAATGAAAAAAAGTTTTGGATCAAACTTGTAATCTCCAGAAGGGTTGAAACTAGAGTTGTCAGTTTACCTAACTAAAGAAACAAGGACCACTTCTGAAGGGCCACATCAGACTTCTGTATTGCGAACAGCTACATCTATAAGTATTTTTACTAGCTAAAGCCCAAACATACCCTTCCAGTCAACACACCCACCTGCTATATTTTGGTGGGACATTAAGCCCTCATACATTCTGAAATGTGAGACATAGCAGGTTAGGAGGGTCAGACCAAATGAAACACAATCAGAGTGACTTGACTTTATACTGTACTTGTTTACTTACAAGCACTATACTCAAATATCATCAACTTTGTGTGTACATCAAATCATTTCCCAGTGTAGCCACAGCAGTTGTGACAACAGAAGCATCCTTGAAGCAGTAGACCTGGCAAATCTATTTCCTGAACACCAGGCTCACGGCTTTGATGGACGGGCATGAGGGTTCCGTTTCTGTGCTTCCTCCTCTCCTTCGTCCCTGGGTACTGGAGCTGACCGGTCATCAGGCTGCATCTGAACAGCCACAGCCCACAGCACACTGTTTTTAGACAAGGATCACCAGTCCCGTTTTGCCTTAAAACTATTTCTGCGAGCTGAGGCAGCCCAGGATTTGACTGGTGAATAGATAGTCTGTTGAAGGAGCAGGAGAAGGGCTGGCAGGAACTAGTCCTGAGGTGGAACCCTCACCTAAGCTCTCCCCAGCCCTCAGCCTGAATCTTTAGGCATACAACCATGTTATTACAGCTGAACTACATGCAATGTGAGCCATGAGGTCTAGCTTCATGTGTCTGTGTGGTTGCTTGGGCTCTGCTGTAGATGAAAAACAGCCTAACCTTAGGCAGCATCCAGCAACTAAACATAAAAGTAACTTCAGACTGTCCTTGCTCTCTAACATAAAGCATATGGATTTATTTTTCTTTTACTGCAGAATTTCTGCTGATATTGCTATGTCATGTAAGGTATAATTCTTCTTTCTTCCCCTCCAATTATGCTATAAAAAAAACAAACCAAACAAACAAATGAGTAATAAAAAAGCAATTATAAGGGGTAAAAAGTCATTCTGTCAATACAGTTTATTCCATTCAGGGATATTTTTAAATCCATTATCAAAAACAGAGGTCTGGTATAAACCTTCACTAGTGTCTTTGCTGGCATCACTTTACCAGTGAGCCTCTGAAATTCAAGGTGAATGCTGAAAACACAGGGTCAATCTATAGCTGTAACAGAAAGCATGTGTAACGGGGGTTATATCCCAGCAGCATTTAAAGCTAGGGGAAATCTGAACATGCCTGGGACATTGTGGCATACCTCTGCCCCAGGCTTGAAGTAACAACCCAGTGAAGTAACCAGAGTGATTGCTTCAACACTGTGGGCCCTGCTTTCCTAGTGTAGGTTAGGGTTTCCTAAAGCAACTTACTCCATCCAACTAGGATGGGCGCTTTGTGCAGTCCCTTTCCTTGTAACCCACCTCCCAGCCTTCCACCTCAAGAGCTGCCTCATCTTCTGCACACTCTCACACGTGCGTGACCGCATTCTACCCACTGTCACTGCAGGAAACAGAAAGCATTTGGGACATCCATTTGCTGAACACTAGTCAGATCAGAATGAGATAGGAACATTGCAATGCCAGAAGGCTGAATGGTAAAAAATGGTTGTTTGAGCAATTGCAAATTTCTGAAGCCTGTGGCTGCATTAGCAGAAACACATTTCCCCAACTCTCCTTTCAATTTTCTGATTTCTTCTAAAATCAATTTGCTGTAGCCACTGATAGGCAAAACATCCCCACAGACGCTGGCTATTAATCACAGCATTTAAAGAAGTGGCACCTAGCTACTAACAAGACCAGGGGTCCAGGTTTAAGCAATTTACATTGACCCAGCCTTTTCAAACAAGCCTGAGCAGATGGATGCTCTGCAAACAGCTGCACCAGGGGAAAAGGTTAGCAGCTGCCAACCAGCTTCTTGTCACTGGCTCCTATTACAAGTGTCCCCTTCACTTCCCAGTGCCAGGGCAAGCACCTGACAGCATCCTCAAACAAATCAAACAGATGGGCCTTCAAGGAGCTGTTGGGCTGGGCTAGCAGATTATCGAGGGGATGGTATCCAGCTGGGGAGCTAGTGACAAGCAGCAAACAAACTGTAGTATCTCTTACCTGGCACAAAGGGAAAGAGGGCATATGTCCACAATGCAATGGATACAGGTATCCTTGGGTGTTGAACAATTTTAGCATGAGAAATTTTAAAGATCATGAGAAAATGATCTCAGTTTAGACATATTGTCAACGACAAAAAAAAAAAAGAAATGGAAAAGCTATTTTTATCAGCAGTTTCACAGCTCAACTCTAATAAAGATTAAAAAGTTCATAATCCAAACCCAGATCTCCTTGGCTTCAATGTTGTTTAGACTATGTAAGAAATGTAGAAAAGAACCAGTAAATAATTTCTTAAAGGAAAAAAAGTCCCAGACCTCACACTGACATTCTCGCAGCCCTCCTGGGACAGAGGGAGCAGTGGGTCTCTTTTTCATCGAATTTCCATCACAAACTTGAGGTTTGTGTCCTCTCTGCCTCTTACCCAAAGCCCTAAGAACCAACCACAGGTGAACAATTTAACTACAACCTACTCAAGGAAACACGCCACCTCAAACAATTTTTTTCATCACAGGAACATTGTTCCTTGAAGGCTGAAGTGGCCACACAGATGAATAACAATCCTTAATTACAATTTCTTGTTTTCTCTATGAAAAAGTTACCACATATTTGTCCATAAAATACAGAAAAAAATATGGACTTCTTAAAATATTTCAGAATAATATTCAGAAATCTGTGTTACAGGGTATCATCACACACACATAAGAATACAACTGTTGTATTTCTATACTCAGTGTGTCAGAATTGTCCCAGGCACTCATGAGCTCTTGTGCACACAGTACAATTCTTTCACAAAATGTAATAATTCAATGAAAATTTCACACTTACAGTCAGTTGGCTGGTTATTTCTTAATAAAAAAGCTTGAAATTGCAAATACAACCATAGGAAAAGTGAACAGAAGGTTAGGGTGGGATGGGAAACTATTCCCCATGCAAGCGCTGATTCTGAGACAGTTCCCTAAAACCTTTACATGTACATACAAAACAGTTGTGAACTTCGGAGCTGGGCCAAACCCTTCTTCCTCTGCCAGCATAAACTGGCTTTGCTCCTTGATACAAATGCCCTAGCACATCTTACAAAGCAGCAACACCAGGGAAAGGCAAAGGTGGTTTACCCTGATCTATATGTATCTATTTAATGTCATGCTGAGACCTCACCTGCAGTACTGTGTTTGGCTCTGGGGCTCCCAACTCAAGAGGAATGTGGACCTGCCGGGATGAGTCCAGAGGAGGCTTAGAGGGCTTAGCTGCTTAGAGGGCTCGAGCACCTCTGCTATGAAGACAGGCTGAGAGAGTTGAACTTATTCAGCCTGGGGAACAGAAAGTTCAGAGGAGACCTTAGAGCAACTTACAGTGCCTAAAGGGGGCCTACAAGAAATCTGGAGAGGGATCTCTTACAAGGGCCTGTAGGCACAGGACAAGGGGGAATGCTTTAAACTAAAAGAGAAGATTTAGATGAGACATTAGGAAAAAATTCTTCCCTGAGAGGGTTGTGAGGCACTGGCACAAGTTGCCCAGAAAAGATGTGGCTGTCCCATTCCTGGCAGAGTTCAAGGCTAGGCTGGATGGGGCTTGGAGCAACCTGGTCTACTGGAAGGTGTCCCTGACCATAGCAGGGGTTGGAACTGGATGAGCTTTAACGTCCCTTCCAATTCAAACCATTTTATGATTCCATGTTTGGGTTCAGGGTTGAGATGAGAGACAATTAAAAAACAAAAAAGCAAACAAACATAAACTGACCCTTTCCTACCTGCATCTTTCCTCCTCCTTTGGAGGGGAGGTCACCATGAATGAAAGAAAAAGATGTTAAATGAGTTTGATAACTACAGTTCAAATGTGCCCATTTGCAAATTAGCCTAGGGATTCAGGATGTTGACATTTTATGGTCACTTAAAGATCACAAGGGCCATCATCTGATCCAAGTTGCTTGTGCCCCCATAGACCAGAGCTGAGATTTTGCTAGCAGATGCTTCCATAAACAAATGTTGGAACAGAGCATTCTTGTGGGGGAGAGCCTTGTCCTTTAGAAATCCCATTTCAGTTCATTAAATTAGCAGAAAAATAACAAAGAAATAAGAAACAAAAGTAAATAATTTTGTACCAGTGTCCTGGGTTCAGCAGTAGCAGTCATTTTTCTCCTTCTTGGTAGCTGGTGCAGTGCTGTGTTTTGACTTTCGGCCTGGGAACAGAGCTGATAACAATGATGTTTCGGTTTGGCCAAGGACTTTGTGAG